GGAATAGGAAAGCCAGGACACGGGTGCCCCAGTCACCTGCCACACTGCTTACTCTCATTAACTCAGTAGCAGCAGGGAAATAATAAAGCCCTGGTTGTAACTGATTGAAACAGCTAAGGCAGGAGTCTTTCCCTCTAAGCTATGTCCACTTGCTTTTGTCTGTCACCAGGCCACTTCTGAAGCCCCATCCATCCATTCACATAACTGGTCCCAAGAAGCCTGAACTCTTGCCAAGTCTCTCTGTATCAGGAATAAACATCTCCTTCAGTGTTTACCAAATGCAGACACCTGCATGGAAATAGCAAGAGGATGGAGGGAGAGGGCACAGGTGCGGGCCCCTTTCCAAGCAGTTGCTTCTCTTAAGTCATAGATTGTTTTCTCCTTCTCTCCAAACCCAGGGGCATTCATAGTCTGCTGGCTGCCCTTCTTCTTGATTCACATCCTCAACGCTCACTGCCCGTCCTGCCACGTGACCCCAGGGCTTTACAGTGCCAGCACCTGGCTTGGCTACGTCAACAGCGCCCTCAACCCCATCATCTACACAACTTTCAACACTGACTTCCGCAAAGCCTTCCTCAAGATCCTCTGCTGCTGACTGCAGGGCTGGCACCAGGCTGCATGATGGGCTGCGCTTTGCAGCAGGCTCCTGGTCTTTGGACAAGGTGCGGGGGGGCTTTTCCCTCCCTCTGCTTTACACACAGTGGGGAGTGATGCGCTCCCCTCGGCTGCAAGCGACGGCGTCGGTGTGATGTGGTACCTTCTGCACCAGAGCAAAGAGCAGGAACCTGCCTGCAGAGCAGCCCACCTGTACAGCTGGCTTCCCACATCGAGCCTCAACGCTCCTGCTTCAGAGAGTTGAGCTTCCCGCTTTTGGGAAGAAAATGCAGAGGCAAACCACTGAGTCCCTCGGTACTGGGCACCACAGTGCTGAGGGGTGGACCCGGGCATGCAGTGGAAGGCCAGACACCTGGGAGCTGCCAGGCTTGCAGAGCACATGGGACCCAAGGGGACAGCATCTCGCATCTTCCCTGCCTATGTGCTGGGAACGCATCTGCCCTCCCACTGCTAGAGCCTCAGCCTGCAGAAGGCACCCAGCTCACGTGCAGCAGTCCTCATAATGGGGCAGAATGTGACCTCTTTGATAAGGATCCTGATCACTTCGATCAGGAGCCAAGAGCAAAAATTTGTCAGGGGAACTTAGCAACGGAGCACTGATAGAGAAATGATAACATTCCTGTTGTCTCCATCAAAAGGTTTGCCCTTAAAACTGGGTCAGTCTCAGTGCTTCAGAAAATTGCCCCAGTTGCAAATGAAACCTTCCCCTGTGCTGCCAGCTTGCATTTTATTTCTCCTTGCAAGGTACGGAGGTAGCTACCATCCCTCTGGTAGGTCAGGTTGCATGAGGAGTGCAACACTCTCTCAGTGTCCCCCTCTTCCTAACCCAAGGACCAGCAGTAGATTGGCCACTGCTTAACTACCACACCCCCAGTCACCTACTGGGGCCACTAAACAATGAACAAGGCTCCAGCCATGCCTGCAATAGATTCAAACCTGTTTTTTCCGCTGGGGCAAGGTTGCATACACCCTATCTCAAAACTTGTCTGTGGTCTCTTTGGATCCAGTCTCCATTTGTGCTCCTCTCCTCATCAGGAGCACTGCTAGATGAAGGATTTCTTCCATCTGACTGCTGTGACAACTCCTGTTACAGCTCACACATGGGGCAGAGCTGTTTCAGTGACATCCCTCCCACTAAGAAAGGATGTGTGCCCCAGAATCGGACCCAGGGCTCTGCCTGCCTCCCCTTGCCGATACCCCTGTCAGCACACAGGGTGTCTGTACATCCCAGCTTCCAGGAGCTGGCCAAATACAGCCCTGCCCTGGTCTCCTTTCCCAGCAGCATTTTACGAAGCCATCTCCAGTAGTTCCTGGATGAAAACAAACCCTGCTGTATCATGCAAGCTGGTCTCCTGTCAGGGCACACTAATGCTCTTCTCCCTGTACAGACAAACCTGACCTGGGACAGCCTCAGCACGTTCCTCTCATTTTCCCACCTCGCTGTACTGGATCAGAGGCTCCAGCTGTCACTCCCAAGACTGGGCTTAGCTGTGCTGTTAGCTGCACTCATTTGACAGCTTTGGGCATAAATGTGTGTGCTGTCTCTGCCTGTGTCCATGCCACAGCTCCTCTGTCTGGGAAGGGCTTCCTCTCTTTTCTAATATAAAGCCAAATACATCGTCCTCCACCTCTGCAGCACATAGCAGACCTCTAGCTTCTTCTTTTGTCTGGGTTTTGGGAGGAGAAGCTCATGGACAGAATGTGCTGTTTGCCTGGGGAGGTGCCCTCCATACTGCATTGTAACTGCATTAATCCAATAAAACATGGATGTAATTGGAAGTTTTGGTACCTTAGTGGTGAATGTAGCCCTTCCATAAGCCTTTTCTCACCTGTAGCCCTCGGAACACTTTCCCTTGATTAACATCTTTCTGCCTGGACACCCACAAGAGGTCTTTATTATAACTTGTATTTTACTTGCAACTGGGAAAGAAATCAACGGCTGCTGTAAGCACTTCCAGCAGATGAATTCTGAAATGGTCAATTAAGTTTCCCAGCGATGCCAGGCAGGCGTGCCGTAGTGGTACTCCATCTCCTCAAAGGTGCTGGACAGCACAGGAGGTACTCAGCACATGGGATACTGGGGGTATCAATCTAGTGAATCAACCTGTGGACAGATTGCTGCTCAAGTAATTCTCATTAAGATGCTTCATAACACGGATCACCAGAGACCAGTTCCAGTTGCTTTATATACACAGTTGCCAAAAAGGTGGAAACAAGGAAAAAGATCTTCTAAAGGATGACTAGGTCCTTTTCAAGCCCTGGCCTAGCATCTCTCAGGTGTCGTGTTCAGTCTGATCTTACCTGAATTCGAACCAGTTCTTCAAGCAGTGGTCCCCAAGGCGACTCAGGATAGAAGTGAGGAGCAGGAGGTGTGGCAGAAGATCAAGCAGTATTTTGACACCCACAGAGCTATGAGGGATGGGAAAAGTACTAGATCTAAAAATATGGTCCTTTATTTAATAATTAAGATTTGAACTATCATATCACATAGCTGATAGCAACCTCTTGAACTGCTGCTATGGACAAAAAAAAAAAAAAAAAAAAAAAACAAACCAACAAACCAAACCACTACAAACCCCACTCAAAGTTACAAAAGCTCAGCTCCTAAAGAAAACAATCTCTTTCTCCCCCTCCCTCAAGGACTGTTTGAGCTCCTTGCCCAGTTTTACTGTGGCAAGATGAACACAGGTGGCTTCACAGGAAGGACCAAGGAACAGAAGCAATCAAAGTTGCAAGCAGTTGACATCCCCCCACCCTCCCCAGCAAGCCAGAGGGACAGCTGAGGAGTCCCCCAGGACCTGTGCTTCACAAACATTATTTGCAGTAGAATAATCCAGATTTCCTCATTTTTTAAACTGATATGCCTCCTCCTAACCTTCATTTTCTGCAACGTTTTCCTCTTTGCTTTTTTTTTCCCTCTGGTTCCATGACTGGCTGGAAGAGGAGAGGTGAACCGTGACTGTGCTCTGCTGAAGAACCACAGGCATTGAACAGGGTTTCATTTACATGCTGATATTCACATTACAAGAGTCTTTGGAGAATGCTGAAAGCTCCTCTCCCGCAGAGAGAAAGAGGGAGCTCAGAGACCATCGCAGGCTGTAAATAATTGCTGGTGTCAGGAGACCTGCTCTGCCAGCGGGGCCGGGCAGACGTGCGGGCGCAGCAAGGGGTCCTGCAGCCTGTGCTCACCTTCGCTCTGCTCCACCTGGCAGCAGGAGGGGGATACCTGAGGTCCCCTGTGCTGGACGCCATTTGTAAACAAGCTAGCAGACAGAATAGCCAGAAAGCATCTCTGCTGTAGCTGAGGCAGGTTAAGACCCTTTGGAGACAAAGGAGAGCTGGCAAAACCCGCTGGGAACAGCAGCCCCCCCTGCAAGGTACAAGGCAGCCATCCAAGTACTGCCTGTCTAGACGCAATTACAGCACGCCTGAGAAATGGACTGAAAAACACCGTTTATTCTCTGCCTCCACCGTTTCTCCAGGCAGACGCCTGTCCCAGCTCACAGAGCCATCAGCTCTGACTGGACGGCAGGAGCCCAGACAAACGAGCTGCTGTGCCCGCGTACCCCCACGGCTCACTCAGCAGGCTGGCAGAGAGCTCCCCTTTCTCAGGACAACAGGCACACTCAGCTCTCTCACAGCACTGCACACTGACTCCGACAAAGCCACAGAGACCCTCATCTCCACACGGACCTGCGGCTCCCCAGGGGTACGTCTGTAGTGGGTGAGCCATGGGTTGCACACATCAAGTTTGCCGCTCCCACCTGTGATGCTGCTCTTTGGGGGCTCCCAAACAGCACAACCCACCGAGGTGTGTGTGTGCACCTCCCACTGCCCTTCCTGGAGGGACACAGGGGACCCTGATGGTGGCTACAGCTCTGAGGTGCTTTTTTTTTTTTTTTTTTGAGTATAAAACACAAAAATAAAATGGATTATGAATCCATAGCTCAGAATAAGAGGTTTTTCAGAAGAACAGAAGAACCGGTTAGAGCCTGGCTCAGGGCTGGAAAGGACACAGCCTACCCAGGAGCAACCTACTCTCCATGGTGCTTCTCAGCCTGCAACTTCTCCTCAGGCTGCTGTGCGGTGACTGTGATGGTAGAGGGTATTTAAGGTGGGTACCTATCGTGTGAAGATGAGGCCAGGCAGGACAAGACAACCCGCCCCGAGCAGCTCTCAGTCACTCACTCCTGCAAGCACGGCAGGCAGAAGCAAGCAGGGAGAATGTCTCACTGCCAGCCCTTCACAGATCACCAAAAATCTCTATTTCGGCTGCTGTGCAGTGGTTGTTGTAACTACTTCTGTGGCTTACTTGTGTGCAGGTGCAACAGGAGATGTCCATCATAGATCAGAGCTCCACACATGCCCCAAGGCTCTTGGCTGCGTTCTCAAGGGCCACGATTTAAACTTCAGGTCTAGCCACAAAAACACGGGCTACTCAAGTTACTAAAACCTTAACAGCACCAGGCACCAAACTGAAGCCATACAGAGATAGTCAGCGTTCTTATGCTGAGTTTTATGTTGTAAAATGCAAACAGAGAAAAAACCATGAAACACTCTGCCCCGCTGCAGGCAGCAGCAGGCACGACAGGCACCAGGTCACGCAGGAGCCTTTAAGCAGGAGAGCACAAGGGCCCATGGAGCAGAAGGTAAAACAAGCTTCCATGAGGGAAAGCTGCCTGCTGGGAAGGCAAGGAAATGATGGAGGAGGCGGGTTTCACTGCTGGCAAGGCCCCACTGCTCTGCAGATGACACTGGTCGGCTAACATGCTCCCAGCAGCTGTTGGACATGCTGTCTTAATAATCCCAGCTGCGGCCAGACATTAAAAAAACACATTTGTCAGACTACAACAAGGACAAAGCAAAGTGTCACAGAAAACCTCGCTTCGCCAGGTGATCCTCCCCAGACTCCTTAGGGGATGGGCAGGCCAGCAGCTCAGCTGAGCTCAGCTGGACGCCACGGTGGGGCTGTGCACGAACAGCTGTCCG